ACACGGGCTAACTGACAACTCATGGGGCCCCCGGGCAATAGGGGATCATGGGGCCCGTGTCCTTGCCCAAACTGAAAAGCCTATGAAAAAACAAAAAAAAAGTACCAGGGGCATCTAGTGAGGCCCCCTACCTACCACGGGCCCTCGAGTAGGCTTGAGTTTCCAAATGGTAAGTCCGCCCTGTACATATTACACGCATATACACACACACACACACACACACACACACGTATACTTGGGAGTTCTAACAAAAAAAATATTGATTTTTAAACAAAAAGTGGCAGAAAAGGATTGATCTTCAAGTTGGAATTCCCCCAAAATAACGAACATTAAAACAAACATAGCCAATTTTCCGAAATAACAAAACTTTCAAAAATACAAATCGATTCAGAATATATACTCTCCCAAAATAAACAAAAAGTTCTAAAAAAAAAAAAAAAAAAAAAAAAAAATTCATTCTAGTATAATAATGACAAAGCAAAATGGTTTACTTACAAATGAAACAAAACAAAAATGTTTCCGTTATGCACATCTCTACCATTCAACCTCAATGATTAGGTTGTACTATCAGATTTAGTTTGCGGGTGTGGAATCAGGTAGACAGCAGTCAGTTTTTAAAATCCAATCTTTTATTGTGAAAAAAAATGGTGCTTATTTTCTGTAAAACTGTGAGGTATTAAAAATAAAGTCTATTTTCTGGGAGTTTATCAGGGGTTTTATCTACAGAAGCTCGAGGATGGATTTGATTTTCAGCAATAAATGAAGTAAAAGGCAGAACTTCCATTTCATGTTCACACAGGGAGAAAAGGCAGCCTGATTTATTTAGTTGCATCTTTTCAATGGAGAACATGGTGAAAAATACAAATGTGCTTTCAAGGAAAAAAAAAAAAAAAAACTAATATAACTATGAAAAAAGAAAGAATCAATGTACTGACATCAAGGTCTCCTTAGATTTTAGGTTCATTCTATCTCATACAGTTTTGGCTTTATAATCATCAGTGTGGGAAGTATGAATTTGTGTTTAAATGTATGCAAGAACTGATCTCCAGAGGATACATTAAACAAAAATGTAAAAAGGAAAAAAAAATATTTTTCAATGGTCATGAAATTAATTTTGATATACATCAACACCTGTGTCTTAATTAGGGGTTACACAAATAATTGCAGTGAAAAGAAGGTGAAAAAATGTTTAAAATTTTACCAAGGTCGATAAAAAATGTTATGCATCCCAGAGATTATATTGTAGAGACAACAAAGAATTCATGTTTACATCATAGTGCAGTTGTGTTGTGTTATCTGCTTCAGGAATAAAAAAAAAAAAAAAAAGAAAAAAGGATTTCTGGTTCACTGAGCATACAAATATGTATAGAAATCTTTTAAAAAAAACAAAACATGTCTGGTCAGATTTCACATCTTACTCTGTGGCTCTTCTTTAGTCCTTATGCTTGATATTTTACAGCGGCTGTTTTTGGCTTTTGACGGTTTTTTTTTTTTTTTTTTTTTTTTCTACAGCCAGTAAACCCCCCAGCATGTTATTCTATGTGTCCATGCACACACAGACTGTAATCAACTTTTTTTGGCTGGAAAAACCCCCCCCCCCAGGACTACTGGGATTCTAGAGGAGCTTTTTAGCTGTAAAAATGTAGCAAAACGCGGTAAACTAGCATTTTTGGATTTTTTTTGACAAAAAATAAATGTTTTTGGTTAAATTAAAAAAAAAAAAAAAAACACAAACAAAAACAAAAGAAACATTAAAAACCGCAAATGCAGGGAAAACACCACTAATCGTGGCAAAAACGCTAATGCAAAAAAAAAAAAAAAAAAAAAAAAAAAAAAAAAACGCTTTTGAAAAGCACACCAATGATGTAGCATGCAGGACTTTTACAAATCGACCACCTGCTTTTTACAAGGAGACACATGCTGATAGGGGAATAACTAATCTTTTTAATAAAGCTTTGTTTAAATTTCAGTATCACTCCACTCGCTCTACCTATACGGGGAGGGCTAGTATACTGGTTAAGTCCTCGGCTTCCTTCTCCTGTGTACACACGGAGGTGGATTCTCAGGGTAGATATGTCTTCCTTTTCTGCATCCTAGAAAACTGAACATATATACTGGCCAATGTCCCACCACCATATAAGAGTGAGGTTCTCCATGCATTATCCTCCTTTATGGCACAATACCCTACTGTCCTGGTTGTGGCTGTTGGAGATTTCAACAATGTTTTGATTTGACAATGGATAGATCTGCACATGTCGGGGTAGGGGGTGTGAGATGCCTGTAGTCACTAGCTTTGCCAGGCAGCTGGGAGAGTTGGCATTGTATGATGTGTGGTGGCAACAGCATCCGCAGGAGCGCACATACTCTTGTTGTTCTAGCTCTTACAGGTCCCTATCTCGCATTGACTTAGCATTGTGTTAATTGGTGGTTTTTCCATGGGTCGAGTCCTCGGAGTACGGTCCTCGTTTTCTGTCCGACCATTCCCCCATGATTCTTAGGTTTGTCAGGCGGGGGGTGAGGGGACTTGTTCCCTGCAAGATAAACCCCTTCTGGCTTAACAATTATGGATTCTGATATGGTAATGCAGCATATATTACTGTTTTTTTTGAGTCTGAATGCAGGCTCTGCTGGTGATTGGTTGGTGATCTGGGACACCCTAATAGCATCTCTCAGAGGTGTCCTTATAAAGGATATTTCGAGAATTAAATCCACTAGTAGGCAGTGGGAGGAGACCTTGGGTAGAGCGGTGCAGGAGGCGGAGCGCCAATTTAATCAAGAATCTCACTCCTGAAAATCAATGTAGGTAGGAAACGGTCCAGCAAATATACAAGTCCCAAGCGGTACAGAAAGCAGATTATAAAATATTTTTTCAGCATCAGAAATATTTTGAAGAGGGGGAGAGTACTGGCTGCCTTCTGGCAGTCATAGCTAGGTTCCAATTAGACCTATTGTTGTTACTTCGGTGGTAAATGCTCAAAGGGAGACCCTTACAGATACTGTAGGTATTTTGAATTGCTTTAAAGCAATCTTTATAATACCAAAATTGAGGCCCATTCTGTGCCAGAGGATTCATTCTTACATGGCCTCTCAATCCCTAAACTGTTCATGGAAGAGAGGCGTAAATTGGATTGGCCATTCACGCTAGAGGAACTTGTGGAGGCAGTTGCTGCCTCTGCCAATAATAAGGCGCATGGTTTTGATGGCCTTCTAGTGTACCTACTGAGCTAGGATTAATGGAGTATTATTGGAGTCGCTTGCTCTCCATTAGGGACACAAGGCAGGGGAGTCCGTTGTCTCTGCTACTGTTCACCCTGGCAGTGGAACCCCTTGTGATCGCGGTTAGACAGCATGCCAACATTATTGGTTTTAGTCGGGGTATTGGGGAAGACAAAATTAGCCTTTATGCTGATGATACTTTATTATACTTGGGTGATACACAACAATCTCTAGTTACCCTCATGGAATTGATCTGTTCCTTTGGCAGATTCTTGGGTTTTAGAATTAATTGGGACAAATACGTTCTGCTTCCATTGGACCCATTAACACAGGAGTTGCCTCCTGTTGCCTCTAAGATAAGAGTTGTTGACTTCTTTAGGTACTTAGGAGTTCTTATTCATCTGGTAGTGTCTAGATATTTGGAGTTGAATTTGGGCCCTCTGCTAACCAAGTTTAAAAAAAAAAAATCTGCTTGCTGCTGTAAGCTCCCCTTAACAGTAGTTGGCCGCTCTAATTTGATTAAGATGATCTGGGCCCCTTAATTATTATATATTCTGCATAACGCCCCCACCTGGATATCACAAAAATGGTATAAAAACCAGGTTGATGTTCTATTCCAAGAACTTATCTGGAACAAGAAGTCTCCACGAATTAAACTTTCCACACTTCAACTGGGACGGGATGCTGGTAGATTGGCTATCCCACACCCCAAGATGTATTTTTTTAGCTGCTCAGCTTCAGCATTGTTTGGGGTGGAATACGCTTGACTTTGTAGACCCTATTCAAGCAATTTTATTGTCTTTTAGGTCTCACTACTCTCTCTTTCCCAGTTGGAGGCTGCAGTGTTTGCTTCATCCCAGTACTCTCTCACCCGGTTTCTCTTCCATCAGGTTTGGCCCTCTATTAATACGCTACTGAAATGGGAGTGTTTTACTGATAGCACCCCATTATGGAATAACTTTCTCCTTCCGAGGTTAGTAAATTAAAGGGTTTTGGGATGTGGCAAGAAAAGGGGGTGACATATTGGTCCCAATTGTATGCTGGTCAGGCTTTAAAGTCATTTCAGACCCTCCGGCTGGAATTTAAACTTCCGACTCAGAGGTTTTTTTTTTCAATACTTACAGTTGAGACATGCACTAACTACTCAGGCTCATACCTACAAAATAGCAGAAAAAAAAAAGCTCATTTCTAAGCTTAGTTCTATGAGACTTTGATGATTGAGGTACATTCATGCATATCTATCCCAGCTAGGAAGGAATGGGAGAATGATTTGGGGACCCCTGACGGAGGAGTTGTGGGAAAAGACAATGTTATGGAGATGCCCGAAACTTCATAGATATGGTCTCTCTCATTTCCTCCATTTAACAAGTTCTCTTGTCTGCGGAGCCTAATATATGTTTGATGAGTCTAGTGTACCTACTGAGCTGATATCTTCTGTCATTAGGTTACTCTATATAGCACGGAAATTGATAGCACAAAAATGGATTTACCCAGTCTTCCATCCGTAACAGAGTGGAAATCTCAGGTTAACAATGTAATCTCCAGAGAAAAGCTAATATTTCAACATAGAAACTGTATTAGAAAATTTGAAATTATATGGGGTCCCTGGCTGGCAACACCCTATTTGGCTCAGCTCTATATGATAGCAAATAGATTGTTTTCCCTATAACTGCATGAGGTATAATGGCTGGAATTTATATGTTTGGGGAGCAGACAAGTTCAGCTAGATACAATAGGAAGCAGAGACTATCTTGTGTCAACCTGTGCTGGTTTACTGGGTTTATTGTTGTAAGATATATGTCCATACGGTTTGATTACGGATTGTTGTGGTTTTATCACTGTATGACAAATTGTCTTTGTAACATTTG